AAAACAAAAAAATCCTACCTGGACTTTGCCTTTGCCATTCCCTCTGCATATGGGTGTGGTTTGTGCCCCACTTTCTTCAGGTGTGTGCTCAAATGTCACTAATAGTGAAATCTTCCCTGGACACTTGATATATACAATAGCAAGCAATTCCCATTAATTGACCTTTTATTCTATCCATAGCATTTATCATCTTCTGGGCTATTGTGTCTCATTGTTATTTATTGGTTTTATTGTCATTTCTCATTATCTATTTCCCATCACAAACAAAATACATTATATTAGGTGGTGATAAATGTGATGGAGAAAAATAGAGTTGAGGAGCAGTATAGGGAATACTGATATGAGGGGTGCTTTTTTTTTTTTTTTTGGTAGTACTGGAGCTTGAACTCAGGGCCTCACACTTGCTAGGTTGTTGCTCTACTACTTGAGCCATGCCCCCAGCCCAAGGGGTGCTGTCTTAAACAGTGAATATGAGGTAGGCCTCACAGTGAAGGTGACATTTCAAGCAAAGCCCTGGAGGAACTACAAGGACCAAGCCATGAGAACATCTGGAAGAAGAATGTTCAAGCATAGGGAACAAGAAGTACAAAGACCCTGAGGTGGTGACATGCTGGGATGTTAGAGAAATAACAAAGACAGCCAGTGTAGCTGGAACAGAGAGGAGGTCATTGAAGGCCATAAGGGGACAGGTGGTATATGGCTTCATGTGTGAGTGCAAGAGAAGAAGCAAGGAGGCCAGGAAGGAAGCTCTGCTAATGATCCAAATGAAAGGTGGCTCAAATCAGGGTGGAGGTAGTGAGATGTTGAGAACTTTTTGGATTCTGGATGTATTCATAAAATAGAACTGACTAAACTTCATGATGGTACCTTAGATGAAGGGTGTGAGAGAAAGAGAGGAATAAGGAACAGAAACCCACAAAGCCCTGAGAAGGAAGAAAGGATTGGCAAGGTGAGACTAGAGCCAGGAGAGTTAGTCGGCTTTCCCAGAAGTCAAGGAAGACACCAGGGCTTTATTAAGAATAGCATTGTCAAGAATGTATGTCAGGTACTACTCAGAAGTCCAGCAAAATAAAGATAGAAAATATACCATTGAATATGAATCTAGCAATTACTGGTGATGTGGGAAAAGGCCAATTTGGAGCAGGAATGGGTATACACCAACAAACCTGCAGTGGGGTATTAGGAGAATGGTTTGTGAAGAGAGAATGTACATAGCCTCCTTGTTCCAGAAGATTGACTGCAAAGAGGTGGTAGCTAGAGAGGGTTTATTTTTACAAGATGGAAGGATGTGAGCTTGTTTATATTCTAAGAGGAAAAAAATTGATCAAATAGAAAATACAGGAAATGGAATAATTGATGGGTGGCAGGATGTGAATAGAGGGTAGGAGATAGAATCCAGAGTGCCTACAGATGCCTTAGTCTTGGCTGGGACCAAGAGAAGAGGGAACATGGGAGGATTCAGTAGAGTTTGTTGTTATGGAAACTTGAAGATGTTATGCCTAATGAACTCTGTCTTCTCTGGGAGGTGGAAGGCAAAGTCTGCAGTTGATAATTAGAGGAAAAGCAGTATTGGGAGGAGGTTCAAGGAAGTGTGTTAATATTGCATAAGGTTTGAAGTAGCTACTGCAGAGAATGACTAGTTGATAAAGGTCCAGGTGGACTATAACTTAGGAATGTTCAGTCACCCTATTGTGTAGTTTTATGAGATCCTGCTTCCTAGTTATGTGACCTTAAACAAGTTACCTAACCTGTCTATACCTCAAATTTCTCTTCTATAAAATGTGCATGAGTGGGTGTGATGGTGCATGCCTGTAATGTCAGCTACTTGGGAGGCTGAGGCTGAAGGATCATGAGTTCAAGGTCAGTCCAGTCTACATAGTGAGGCCCTGTCTCAAAAAACATGGGTCAAATGAGTCAATCAATATAAAGAGATTGCCTGGCACATTAGTAAGTGCTTGATGGAAAGTAACTTGATGAAAAGATTGCTTTTGTAAAATGTATTATTGTGTTTGATTAACAAATCATAATTGTATATATTTATGAGGGAAAATAATGTTTTACACGTATATACAATGTGACATAATTAAGTCAAATCAATTAACATATTCATCATCTCACCTACCATTTTCATGGTGTATCATTTGAACTTAACTCTCTTATTTTCAAACATATAGTATATTATTATTGACTATAGTTATCCTTGTATGCAATAGATCCCAAAGCCTATTCCTTCTGTCTATCTGAAATCTGGTTCCTTTTGATCACCAGTTCCCCATTTCCTTCCTCTCTACTCCCTCAGCCTCTGGTAACCATCATTAATTCATTCATTCATTTATTCATCATTCATTCACAGAAAGTCAAACACTAAATGATTTCTCTCATATATGGAATATAAAAAAATTGATCTTATATAAGTTGAGAGTAGAATGGTTATCAGAGGCTGAGAACAGTAGAAGATGGAGGGATGGGGAAATATTAATCAGTGTGTACTGAGTTGCAGTTAGGAACAAGAAACTGATGTGCTATTTCATGGTAGTGTGACTATAAACAACAATAATGTACTATACATTTCAAAAAGGTAGAAAAAAGAATATTCATCATGAAAAATGATATGTGAGGAAATAACATTTTAACCTGATTTAAATATGAACAATATGTAAATGTATTGAAACATCAAGTGGTGCCCCATAAAACATACATTTTATGTGTATGTGTATCAGTTAAATTCAATTTAAAGTGTAACTGAAAAGAAAAGAAGGACAGAGAAGGAGAAGGCAAGGAAAGGAGAAAATAGAAAGAAAAAAGCAAGGGTCATGTGATAACTGAAAAGCAGTGCCAAGCACAGAGCAGGTACTCAATAAATATTTGTTGATCAGGTGCCAATGGCTAACACCTGTAATCCTATCTACTTGGCAGGCTAAGATTGGGAGGCTCACAGTTTGAGGCCAGCTGGGCAAATAGTTTGTGAGACCCCCATCTCTAAAATAACCAGAGCAAAATGTACTATAGGTGTGGCTCAAGCAGTAGAGTGCCTGCTTTGCAAGCACAAAGCCCTGAATTTAAACCCCATTTCCACGTAAATAAATAAATACATCCTACATACATACATACATAAATACATAAGTAAATAATTGTTCAGTGCAAGAATGGGAGATTCTGTGGAATCAAACCATAAGTTTCCATGAATATAACTTCTGGAAAAGCTGTCAATTTTGACTAGAAAGGGTAACCTTCATTTTCAAGGGAGGCTAAAACAGAGAGTGGATGGTAGTATGAGAATCTAGCAGGTGAAGAAATTACAGGCCAGGTCATTGGAAGGATCACTGAACCAGTCACTGCTATCAGCCCAGCTGTTTCTTTTTTATTGGGAGGAGACGGCAAAGTAGGAGCTAGCAAGCAGGTTAGTAGCTAGAAGCTACTTCCTTCTGTGCCTGAAGATGAATAGAGCTCAGAGAATAATAAGATAAAGCAGTTGGTTGTTGATCAGAGAGGCACAAAAAGGTTTCCTCAGGGCTGGGGGGACAATGCAGCTGCATTGTAGTTTGAAAATAACCAGCAAAAGTAGTCAGGGCCTCACTGGATCCTAGACAGTGAAAGGGATAGCTTTGCTCCTTCCATAAGCCCATCCCCTTACCTCAGCCCCTTCAGCCTATCCCTAGTTCCTGAGATCTAGCTACCTAACAGAGTTGTTCTAAAAAGTAAATGAAATGATGGATATGCAAATAATTTGTAAGAAGAAAATTGTTCTGTATCCACAAAAGAGTAGTTAATGCTGCCTGGCTTGCCATAGAAATCAGGGAATATGTTCTCCATATACTCAGTTGGTCATTCTTATGACTGCGAATGTCCCATTCTGAGAACTAAAACCTTCAATTCCCAAAAGACCAGGATATTCTCCACCCTCTTCAGTCTAGTCCCTAGCCTAGCTCCTATTCAGATACACTGAATTTAACCAAATTCAGCTGGTTTCCCAAACTGTCCAGTGTTTTTCAGTGTCTATGCTTTTACCCACTAGTGTTCTTAACTAGTATCTTGTTCTTCCTGTCTGATGAATAAAATCCTTTCCACCATTCAAAGCCAAAATCACATACCTCCTCCTCCATCAGGCTTTCAATCACTTTAGCAAGTAAAGGAGATGTCTCTGAGTTCTGGAGTCCTATGGGCCATTTTGCACTTTGGATCTAGTCCTTGGAGACCACCTTTCTGAATAAAGCAAATGAAATTTCCTGTGTTTCCCAATGTCTAATATTAACTGAGCTCCAGTTTCCCCAAAGACACAGACTTCAGAGGCAGATTGGAGAGCAGGAATGAGGGAAAAGAGAAGGTATTTCTTCCTTTCCTCTTTTTTGGACAGCATGTCTTGTGTATGGATCTAGCTCTTATGGACAGGCCTGTAATTTCACTCTTTTCCTGGATTCTGGTAATATCTCCCTTATATCTCCAGCTATGAATGATATTAGCTTCCTGCTGTCACCAATCTCTGGGTTCCCATTTTGTCCTGCTTGAATTCTCAACCTATTACTTATGTAACCAACTTCTTTTCTACATTAAATTACCCTGTGATAACTATTTGCTTGTTTGTTTTCCTAGTTAATTTTGACTATAACCCGGACTAGTGGGAATGCAGCCTATAATTCAAGGTGAATGAATGGGAAGCTCCTTGGTCACTTGATTCAAAGTCGTAAGAGACAGGGGGAGAGTCTTTGAAAAGATGGCTTGTAGCACCAGAGAAGTAAAGGGAGTCACAGGACTGGGCAAACTGATGCTACCCTTTCACCCACTTGGATTCTTTAGGACTTTGATTCCAAGGAAGTTCAGCTTCAGACTCTTATAAAGGACTTTGGTGGAGAGGTACAGCCATTGGCTTAGTTTTCTCTTGATTTTTCAGTGGCCAAGTTTCCTGTTCCTGTCAGATGCCAGACCAGTAATATCCTTCCCTATGGTTGATCAGTGACCCTCCCCAGTGACCCTCTCCCTCCCACATACATAACAGAAGACACTGCAGCCGCTACAATTTGTTTTGTTGAGGATTTTATTATGGAGGATAATATGGGAGAGCCTCTCCAGTTGAGTGGGTGGAGCTGTATTGCCCTCCAGCTACCTGGGTCCCCAGGTGTTTTTTTTTCTTTTTTGAGGCATTGTGGGTTCCTGGGCAGATTAAAGATTATAGTTGGTGTTTGAGGTAGCCAATCAGCATGGGAGGAATATCCAGCTGGTCAATGGCTTGTGGCTGGTTGGCCTGGCGCAGGGCTCTGCGGATAACTAAACGGGCCTGGGATAGGAGTGACCGTGGTGTGGCTACAGCAATAAGAAACAGATAATAAGGAGCAATTTTCAGTGTAATTATCCTGCCCAAGCCTATATCCTCCTGGCTATTACTGCCCTAATGTCCTCACCTTGTAAGAAATGATCCCCCCACCCTGCTCCCAGTGCATGGTACCAATGTGGATGTACTGAGGCCTAGAGAAGGCAGGCTCAGGGCCACAAAACAGTCATTGGCCAAGCCAGGACCAAAAATCTAGCAAGAGCTTCCTCCCTACTTCATCTTAGTGGCTTTTACCCTAACATAGAACTTGTAACCTCTTCTCCACTGGGGCCCATGGAGAGGGAGTAGGAGTGGCTTAAATGGTGACTTGGGGCCCTGGAACCAACACAGGAGGCCTAGGGGACTGACTTGCTCATCACTCACCTCGGGCCTGTAGCAGCAATGCAACACCTTTATCATCTTGTGAGGTCAGGTCCAGGGGGAGAGATGGAAGGTAGATGTTAGCGCCAAAATCAATTAACAACTGGATGTACTCTGGCTTACAATTATGATTGAGGCAGATTTCAAGGAGGGTACGGGGCCGTGGAACTCGAGCAAGTAGGCCCTGATCAGTGCAATTGTAATCGGGATCTGCCCCATGGAGCAAAAGCAGGCGGAAACAGTCGAGGTGCCCATAGACCGCAGCCAAGTAGAGGGGACCAGAACATGAAGCTATGTTTGATGCCCAGACTGGTAGTTTAGCCTTGACATTGGCCTCTGCACCATGGCCTAGGAGCTCCTGCAGGATAGCAACAGCACCATCACGTGCAGCAGTGAGCACAGGAGAACAGTTGTTGTAGATGCTACCACCAGGACAGGCTCCAGCTTCTAAAAGCACACGCACACAGTCCAGATGGCCATGACTGACAGCCGTGAAAAGTGGTGTCTGTGCCTTGACATCCAAGCTGTCAACGTCAGCACCATGTGCCAGAAGGACACGCAAACAGCTCAGGTGGCCATAAGAAGCTGCCAAGCGCAAGGGTGTCCCAGGTATGCCCCAGCCACTCCTGCTGTTGATGAAACGTTTGTAACGTTCCTGGTGTAGAAGCTGGTCCAAGGTATAGGAGTCATTGTCATACACTGCTTGATTAAGAGCCTGCTTCTCCCTGGTGTTGGTGTCCTCCTCCTCCTTTTCTGGCTGCAGGAGGGAGAAGATCTTGGTGATATCCATTAGGTTCATCTTGGCTGATTGGAACAGAACTATTCTCATTATGAGGATCTGTGGGGTGACCAGATCTGTAGGTGACAAAAAGGGGGATTGATGGATGATCCCTATCAAACACCTAAAATGACAACCTCCATTCAAACCTCTTGCCCCTTGCCTTTCACCATAAGGGCTATTCATCCCTGAGTTTCCTGCTTCTCACTGTCTCACGGTCTTATTTTAGGCCCCAGGAATGGCTGTCAAAACAGGTCAGACTATTTTATGGCTTGGTGCCATTGCATATACTGTTCTGCCTGTGTTTCACATTTCTACTTCAGGGAAGTCTTCTGATCTCCTGCTCAGGGATTTCAAAAGATCACAACTAGACTTTGGTTATGAACTTTCACACATTTCCACTTATCTGTGCTTCATTTGTCTAAACTGTACAGCGAGGACCCTGTATCCATCTCTCATTCCTCCACCCCCAGTAGGACATAGGTCATGGCTTAAGATTTGGTAGATACATCTTCCTTAGTTCAGAATGTGTGGATTAATGAGGTAGCTCTGGCCTGGCATTTGCTAGACCAATATAACAGTGTTTTGTGGTGTCAAGCTGTTATCTCTGGGCATTTTAACATCAGTCTCATTGGGTAGGGCCCTCCACTCCAGCACTCTGTGTGACTTCTTCACAGCCTCTCATATGATTATGTCTCCCTCTCCTGAGCTTTCTGTAACCTCCTCTCAGACTCAGGCCTCATGCTTCAGGAATAGAGGTACTCAGGAAATGGATGTTGAATGACATTCACTGATTAAATGAAGAAGTGGCATTACAAATTAAATTAAATGATGGGAAATAGATCACAGGAAAGTGTTGAGGTTTCCAGAGCAAGTTCTCCTTTTTAGTGCAACTGGTTTCTTCCCCAGGACCATTTCAAGTCAGGAATCCCCTTGCCAATACTTCTTCAAACCCACTGCTTCTGCATCCTACTGGCTCAAGCTTTTCCCCCATCCTTGCTGCCCAATCCAACCTGAAGCCTTGATTCAACCTTCAACTGTTCTCTCCCCATAATCCTCAGACCCCATAAAATCACCCATGACCTTACCAGTCCTGCTTCTAGTTCTCCAAAGAGAAGTTCACCAACATCAGTTTATAATGTCATCAGAATGAACTGGTAGGTTTTTCAGAGCTTGAATCTCCCTACTATCCCATATCCTGCAGCCAAGGTCTCAGGGCTTTGTACCTCTTTTATTCACTGTCTGCTCCACCCTTCTTTGTTACCCAGGGATATCAAGTACCCACTTCTTGAAAGAAAATTGTGAAGTGTATGGGTGGGGTCACTCTCAACTTTAGGCCCCTTGCCACCTACCAGCATCAGCTCCATATATGGTCTTATTTATTCATTCCTGGAGAACATTGGAAATAAAATTTTGGAAGTCAGGTAGACCTAGGTTTTTAACTCAGTATCCCCAGTTCCCAGAAAGAAGCCTTAGAGAAGTTTATTCCTTGTTTGTAATTCAGTTTCCTCACCTATAAGACAGACATGATAGTCCATGCTTCATGGGCTGTTAGGAGAAAGAGAACTACCTTTATATTATGTCTTCAAAGGCAAGTTTATTTTCTCTAAGCATTTTGCCTCCACACACCAACTCCTTCCCCTTAAATATCTTAGGAAACAAAACAAAATAGTCTTTTGCCTCACTGCTTTTCTCTCAATCTCTCCTTTCTTTACCAAACATATCTAAACACCTACTATTTGCATCCCTACCTCCTATTCACTGCTCCACCCTTTGCAGTTTGGCTCCACCCATCTTCAGTCACACACCAAGAAACCTCTTAAGCACGTTTTTTGGGTTTTTATTTTTTTCAGTACTAAGGTTTGAGCTCACAGCTTCACACTTGCTAGGCAGGCACTCTACCACTTGACCCACTCTACCAGCCCAAGAAACTTCTTAAAAAGATCACCTTTGTGACTAAATCCACTGGACATTTTTCATATCTTTCCTTACATTTTTGTGGTACCTGGGATTGAACCCAGGACTTCACACACACTAGGCAAGTCCTGTACCTCTGAGCCATGTCCCCAGCTCCCTTTTAAGATTTTTTATATGCCTCTACTTACCACTTCTTTCTACAAATTTCTCTCAGCTTTCTGGACAGCACATTCTACTGATTTTTCTCCCTATCATTCTTCCCTGGAATATTTATGTTCCTCTTGTTCTTTCCTCCATCCTCTTCTCTTTAGTCCCAGAGCCGTAGCTCTTACCTTTATTCTGATTATTTCAAGTCTATTACTCCAAATTCCCCAAGCTCTCTTTTCAGTTCCAGACATGTATCAACTGAGTATCTATAGGTACTTCAAAGTTAGCAGTATCATACCCTACCACCACCACCACCAAACTTAATCCATACATCAGTTCTTCACCATCTACTTGATCAACCAACTAAAACCCCAAGACCCATCTCAGTCCTCTTACCTCTTTGTCCTACTCCCATCCAATCTCATCAACTCTTATGGATTTTACCTCCTAGAGACCTCTCCAGGCCATCTATCCCCCTCAGGGTCCGTATCTATTCCAGTGCTTTATCTAGGTCTCCACTGTCTTATAGTAGTCTCCTAGGTAGTTTCCCTCTTCAATACTTTCTCCCCATTGTGGCTAAAGTGGTCATTCAAAAATACAAGTCTGGACCATACCAATGCTGTGTTTTTAAAATCTCTCAATAAGCCTCTTTCTTTCAGGGTGTAGCCCAAATGCCTTAGCCAAGCTCACAGACCTTAGCCGACCTCTCCAACATCATTTCCTACTACTCTCTACTCATACTCTGAAATTCAGTGATAAGAGAAAGAAATGATGCTTCTCCATGTACATTATACTTCTTTCTCACATACATTTCCATATGGGGTACTAGTAAAACATGGGTGTAGAGTTCAGCTTCAATCAGAGATTTACTACATAGTAACTGTGTGACCTAGTAGAGATCATTTAATCTCTCTGTGCTCATTTCTTCATCTCTAAACAGAGGATAATGATAGTACCTACCTTTGAGTATTATTAAGATTGAATGAGTTAATATATAGTAATTGCTTAGAACATAGTTCTCAATAACTATTTTTACTATGATGATGATTGTTACTTGATTTCCATGATTATTCCATTCCCTTCTTTGTGACTCAGTTTGCTTACCTATATGACAGAAATGATAGTTCATGCTTCATGGGGCTGCTAGGAGAAAGAGAACTACACCTATATTAGATCTTCAAAGGTAAGCTTCTTTTCTGTACATATTCTACTTCATCATACTAGCTCCTTCCCCTCAATACAGAATACTGTCTATATATCTTAATGATTTCTATTACTTTTATTCCCTATATAATGTTCTATAACCTCGGAGTTGGAATAGTCCCTGTGCATAATTTCATTTCTCCAATTAGAGATGAGGAAACCAAGACTCAGGGGGAGCAGGGACTTTCCTAATATCATGTGTCTATTTCTGTGTTACATTAACCTTGTGATTTTCAGAGCTATTCTTTTTTCTTCGAGACAGTACATAGCCCAGGCTGACTTCAAACTCATAATCCTCCTGCCTCAGCCTCTGGAGTGCTGGGATTACTGGATTGCACCACCATGCCTAGCTTAAAGCTCTTTCATGTAGTCAGATATATAATATAACCCCCGTTTTGTGAATGGTAGAAACTAAGGCAGGGAGAAACTAAGGATTTTGCCAGATGGCTTATATCAAGCAATACCAGAGACAGAAAAAGAATTCAGTTTTCCCTAGTTCCTATCCTTTTCTTTCTATTGCAACATGAAACACAAATACACACCCCTCCTCCTTACTTCAAGTAGATTTATACTGCAGCCTCCATGATCCTCAGCTTTTGAGTGTCATGCTGAATTCTAGGCACTTTGGTAATGGATAGTTCATTTACAAATCCTGATAATAGGGATTCCTTTCTTGCCATTTTACTTGAGAACTCGAGTTTGGGTTGCTGAAGAGAGCAGGGAGCAGTGGAAGGAAATGCTGAAGCCCTCACCTAGGTCATACCACGAGCCCAAAGCAAAGTACATATGAGCCTCCAGAGAGAGATGAAGCAGTGGCTGCCTTAGGCTTTGTACTAGTGAACTGTGCCTCTATTAGATACTGACAAGAAAATCCAGGTAGCCTATTGTCCAAACTGACCTTGCTGTAGGCTGTTAATCAAAGAGTTATTATGCACTCACTATGTACAAGGAGCATCTTTCTGATCTCCAGTGTGCAGCAATTTTAAACTTTTTCATGATATGGCCACTGGTGAAATCTGCAGACCCCTTTAATTGTGGTTTTTAGTAAATAAATAAAAATGTAGGATTAAAGAAAACCAATTATATTGAAATACTGCTATCAATACATTTTAACTGAATGACATAGTAATAGATGATCTTTATTAACACATTAAATAACAAGATCCTCAGAGAGGACAGAAACCTCCTGTAGAGCAGAAGGGCAAAAGCTCATTTGATCTTGATTTTTAGTACAAATATAGACCATGAAAGGAAGGGCTATTCAAACAGAGGGAACTGCAACAGAGATGGAATGCCCAACAGAGAGAACTGTAACCAGAACTTCAGAGAAGGAGAAAACAATCATGCTTACAAAAACCATTCTTGGCTACAACAGTGACAGCAACTCTGACCCCAATTCTGGGATGTGAAACCATGGAACCATGGAAACCATGGAACCATTATCACCAAAGATACTATCAAATACCCAAATAAAGTTAACTGATACATATTTTGCCCTCACCCCCCAAAAATAAAGAACTCCTACAGGAGAGTGACTGGTCTCTGTGAAACCTAGACCATTCCTTCAGGCATAAGTGGACTATTTTTAAGCCTCATCTTCCTCCTCCCACCCTGAAGAGCTCTGTCTTTATGCCAACTCTGCTACACTCCTGTCCCCCACAGACATGCAAACACCATTCAGGAACCATACAGGAATACAAAACCAAACCTTTAACCCTTCTCTGAAAAATGCCTTCAAGTAGGTCCAGCCAGGTAGTGGTACATGTCTGTAATCCCAATACTCTAGAGGCAGAAGTAGCAAGGGCTGTGAGTTCCAGACCAGCCTAGGTTACAAAGCAAAATGTTGTTTAAAAAATTTTTTTAAATAATAAAAAAGAGTGTATCCACATAGATCAGAGGGCCTACACTCACACTTTGAGACAGACAAGGCAGGAAGCTGGAATGTTGTCCCTCCTTCCTTCTGAAGGCTTTCCCCTACTGACCTCCCAAGTATACCCAGGTCCCACACCCCCAGACCCAGAATGCAGCAAGGCTTACTCCTCCCTGCCTCTCTGCCTCCCCAACTGAGTTAGGTCCTAGGCTCCAGATACTCACAGGACTTTGGCCTGAGGCCACTTTGAACTGGGGTCACCACGCTACACCGCTGCAAAGCACTAGGGCCCTAGTGGTCCCTCTGCAGAGAGCCCCTCCTGCCCTAGGCTAGAGCAGGCTGGGCCCTCTGTTCCCACTGTTAGCAACTGGGTGGAAATGCTATGCATTGGCCTCTAGGCTGACTTGGTCCAGGGGGCTAATTTTAGGCTACCCTCTACCCTCCACCCCCCTCCCTACACTGTCTCATCTTACTAATGCCATTCTAGGAGTGATCCCAGTAAGAGGAGGGGGGCCGCCCACAGGGAAGTACTGGAAGGACTGACTGACAGATAGACAGGTGCTTGGTAAGGCTAGGGCTCCTGCTCCCAGCTTGTCCTCATATACCCTGCCCCACTGCTCAAATAGGTGACAATCTGAGGCCCCTGAGCTGTGTATGTACCCAACCTTCTAGCAAGAGGCCTGAGAAAGCCCAACCTCACCTAGCACGCCTTCTGAGCAAGAGCCTCTTTAATTTCTCCTGAGAACTTAATCTCTTTGAATTTCCTTTTTCCTTTCTTTAGGGCCCAGTAACATACTGCACCCCCACCATTCCCAAAAGTTAGGGGGAGGGTGGGAAGGAGAAGCCTCCATACTGGAACGTGCTGTTAGCATTTCTAAAGCTTCCTTTTATAAGAAACTCCCCAATCCTCTCACTCACCAGGCTCAGCCTGAGGAAAATGGCCATAGCCTACCCTTCTCATTCCTAAGGCATCACCACCAGATTAATGTGTCCAGCACTGGGAACCTTGTCAAGAGCTCAGTTCTTAAGAGTATCATTTTATCTCTTTGGTTGCCTTTAAATGACAGAAGTGGTATGACAATATCTTTAGAAACAGTCACATTATCTATTTTAGGTGTCACACAAAAAGAAACTGAGAACCAGCATCCTGCCTTCTTCTGGGATGAAAAGCCAGCCTACCATTAGGTACAGAAACCACACCACAATCTTACCATGTCTAAGAAACTGAAGAAAATATCAAGCAGCTACTATGTATAAAATTTAGATGCAAGAAAAACAGTGAGAAAAGTAAAATATAGTGTCCCTTGAAAATGGAATAATGAAACCTGTTGAAATTGTTATAAGAAGGGGTTAAGAGGATGAGGGAGAAAGGTGGAGGGGGTGAATCTGATTAAGATGTATTGTAAGCACATATGTAAATGTCACAATGTAGTTCCCCTGTACAAATATTATATGCTATTTTTTAAAAGCCCACAGTCTATTAGGAAAAATATTCATGGGAACAACTATATTTTATATAATGCAAAAATGCCAGAACTAAAAGCTTCCCTGGATGCCTGTGGTTACTCTGTATCCATGTAAATCTCCCAAATCAGTCCAGGGACTGCTTTGGAATTATGTGTCCCTACATCCTACCAAAACCAATAATAACTTCAGTTTTCCTGCAAGTAGACTCCAGCCTATGCAGAACACAGATCCCAAAACCTCTGTTTCCCTTTCCAATCACTAAGGAAGAGAAGATTTCAGCCAGGAAAAACAAAACACCAGTGAGTGAACCAGAGATATGGTGGGATAAAGCACTAACAGCCCTGTTTCACGTGGTTATTTTGGTGTTAGAATCTGCACATTAAAATGGAACTTCCACATTTCTGAGACATGTTCAATGGCTTTGACTGGAATGCTTTCAATAATAATGACACTTTTCCCACAGAGAAACACATCTTGTTCATTGTTGGGCAACTCAGTTAGTTCTTTTTGCTAAGTCAGTATCTTCATCTATAAAGTACCCCTGAGATCTGAGCCTATGTTCTGCTTACCCTGGGGACCTGACAGAACATGGTCACTTTTTCTGTCCCCAGACAGCCTTCTAGTGGTCTGAACTCAGATATCCTATCCTCCATGTCACCTTGTCTCAGGGATTAGCTACTTCAACTATTTCTTTCAAGCTGTTGTCTACCCAGTCTACCACACTCATAAAGCAGTCATGCACAATGACAGTGCTTGGAAACTCACAGGAGGTCAGAGGACGCCTTTCAATAGTGTCAGTGTCCCAGAATGATCAGTGACTATGAAGATGAGGAACATCAAAGAGCATATCAGCTTCAGGTTGGCATGTATCTGTTCATTGTCAGTGGCTTTATGAAAAACTGATTAGAAGTCAGTGAATAAGCTATTACGAGAATAAAGGTGACAGAGTGAGGTAATATTCTTAAAAAAAGGATTTGTAGGATTTTTAATAAAATATTTTGTTGAGCTAATTATAGATTCACATGCAATTGTAACATTAATACAGAGATCCCATGCACACATTACCCCTCTTGCAATACTGTAGTTTATCACAAGTATGATATTGGCATTCATACAATCTA